GACGCAGGCATGTCAGGGATTCCATGCATCCTCTTGCATTTTCTAGGCATTGGTCTAGACTGGATTATGATTGTTTCCATTGTGTGGGAAATCGCTGCAAATACTCAGCATATCTTAGCATTTTCCTGCATTTTCTAGAATCTACGTTCTTTGGAGAGGAGCTGCCGTTGATGAGCCGTTTGTGTCTGACCCGTCTATCGCCCACGACATAGAGTCTTTACGTGTTTCAATGTGAATAATTTTGAATATTTTTCAGTTTGTTGGAATATACTTGGATATGCTTGGGTATGCTTGGGTATTTATTTTTGGTTTTCAATGGTGGTCAGGCACCAAACCAAGCCGTCCCAAGCCATAGAGCCATAGAATTCTTCTCAACATTTCTCAACATGTTGAGGAAAGGTATGCGAACCACGTCGTGAAGGAAGGCTTCTACCTCTCATTGCTGGATGCATTCTTGTTGGGATCAGCGTTCAACAGGAACGTTTTCCTTGTCAGCCACACAAAGACAGCAGGCTTGACGAAGCCGCAGGGCTTGACAGATTACCTTCAGAATCTGTTGCCTGAAGGTTTCGGCCTAGAGGAAGAAGAGGACGGTGCTCGGGATCCAAGGGACGATTTTCACTTGCTCATGTGCTCCTATCATTACGATGCTGCGTCGGAGCAGGATGTCAATCACTTCATACCCTTGCGCCATCGAACACAGTTCGATGAAGAGAGTGACTGGGATGTTTGTGTCAGCAACCTCAAGCACGACATTATCAACCAGAAAATTTCACTGCAGAAGGAGATGCAAGCTTGCGTGGATAGACATGGGCCAGAGATGGCGGCAGATCTTCCGGAGTTCAACGATCTAGCGAGCAGATCAAACTTTCTGGAGGCTGAGGAGAAGGTCTTCTGCGCGCTCATTGACATGGAATACTTTCCGCAGCAAGTGCCAGGAGACGGAGATTGCTTGCTTTCGAGCATTCTGCATTTGCTAGCAGTGCCAATGAGCTATTTCTATGATCCCAAGCAGATACGAGGCCACAATGACCTACGACATGTTTCATGGTTGATATAGATATAGAATGTTTTGTTCTGTCGTGCTTTGATTCATATGTGTTCTATAGTGTTCCTATGTTCTTCGATGTGCGTCCACCTGACTAGTGATTCGTGGGGAATGCAGGCCATGGGCTTTCTCTCTCTCTCTCTCTCCCTCCCCAAATATAATCCAAATTGTTCAAGCTCCAAACAGCTATACCAAGGAAGTTTCAACGTGTTCCTACCATTTCCAACCATTTTCTAGAGAGAAACATGTGTCAATTATGCCAATTACATCCAATTATATTTAACATCCTTTAACCAAAACTGCTGTTGGTGAGGTATTGGAAGAAGAGTGGGGCAAAATCAAAGATGATGCAATATGGCAGTTCTTTTTCACTGCTATGAGACTGGATAGACTTGTCGCTGAAGAGGACGCGGCAGCTTCCTCGAAGAAGAGCAAGAAGCAGAAGAAGGAAAAGGAGAAGAAGGAGAAGAAGGAGAAGACCAAGACCAAGAAGAAAGGAAAGCATGCAGCATGTGAAGACGAACAAAGTGACATGTCGAGAACACCAGACAAGCCCAAGAAGCAGAAAGTGACAGAGAAGGAACAGGGTGACCTTGCTACGCCTTCCAAAGTTGATCCGCCCAAAGCCGCTCGTCCTGCCAAGTTTGGACAACCCAAGAACGGAGATGGCGTCTTGATGAAAGCACGGAATACGGCTGCTCGGAAGCGCAAGGCTGACCAAGAATTGCAGGTCGCCCAGGACCAGTTTTTGGACCAATCTAAAGCATTTTCTAGAGTCTAGAGGTCTCTTACACTGTCTCTTACATACCATCATAATAATACAAAATAATCAAAAATACAAAACATCTTACAGATATTCAAACATTCTCAAAGATGCTGTCTAGTCAATGATTGGGTTTTTCCGCAGTTTGCTTCAGGAGGATCCTGAAGATCCGGACAGTGAGCTGGAAGTTCCGCGCATCCAACGAAAAACTCACAAGCGAGCGTGCAAAACGAAGGAAACCAGCCAGGGCACCATGCGTGCGACAGCTGTCCGCCTGTATCTGTCTACGATTGGCTTGTCATGGCAAAAGTTCTCAAGTATACATTCCAGGCCGGGCTCAGAAAACGCACACAGACGGTAAAAATCCTGCAGTAGATCCTGCAGTATATGGCATTTTCTAGAGGTTTAATGGGAATCCCTGGCCACTTTCTAGAAGCAGCAATTGCTTTTTCTTTTTGCAGTTCCATTTGCTAGAGGCACTCCCGCAAGACATCGATCTTGAAGAAGTCTTCGGATGCAAATGAAGATTGCTCAGAGGGTGGGTGGAAAGTACTCCAGCAAAAGCTTCTTTCTGGATTTACTATTTCCTGCTTTGCGCGCAAGCAACTTTTGGACTTCTACGATTTCAGCAAAGAAGGCCTGGAGAACTTTGTGGTGGATTATGTCCATGGAGAAAGCAAGCGCACCCAAGAGCCACGTGCTACACCTGACAACGCAGATGAGGAGCAGGGGGACGCAGACCAGGAGGGAGCAGATGACCAGGACGTTCCGGAGAAGGATCCTTTTGCCTACATCAAGGAATTTTCACCACATATCGAATTGCTTGAGCCTGGAGAATTTGGAAAGGAATTTCCTTTCCGGTGCCTCTTGTGCAAAAGCAAGTCCTGGCCTGAAGGAAAGGTGGGAAATCTTGTCCAGGCCAAGGCCAAGTCTGTCAAGTTCTTCTTGGATTCTCATTGCGGGAGTGCAGTACACAGACGCAACAAGGCGCGGTACGACCAGATGTTTGGAGATGGAGCTGTGCCCGAGAAGTTGGTCCCATGCGAAGGGCTGCATGTGGAGGACAAGGCCAGCGCTGGAGCACTGTACTGCTGTCAGAAGGAGTTCGGCATTTGGGCATCGATGAGCAATCTGGCTGCGTTGGCGAAGCACACGTATTCGCAGGTGGCATCAGATGGCAAAGGCTGGCACATCCGGGCTCACAATTGTGAGAAGGAGTGCAAGCCGATTATTGGCAAGGAGCACCAAGTTTGTTCGACGTGTCTGGCTCTTGGAGCATCTCACAGTGTCTACAAATCGGTGCACAGATTTGCCATGAAGTTTTACTCTTCGAAGCTTCTGTCCTCCAGGCTGTTTCTCGGAGTTGACGAGGCGCAGAAAGTCGAAGGTGAGATCCGGGAGAGTTTCCTGTTCACAAAGGAGCCCAAGAAGATGGAATACATCATCAACCTCCCGAATGCAAGGCTCCAGAGAATCGTGCGAGCTAGTGCGATCCACGATGGGAACAAGTCCCACCAAATGGACCTCTTTCACAGCTCAGTCATTGCGCCATGTTTGCAAGTCAATGTCTCCAGTGTTCCTGACAGGATGAGCGACATCTTGGCCAAGGTGAACGCACTGGTTTCTAGTGGAACTGCGAGTGAGCAGGACCAGGCCAACATGAAGGTGGCAGTGGCCTGCCTGTCAGGCTCACTGGACACGCACCCCATGATCCTGGGGTTGGCGCTGCAGTGCCGCAGAAAGCTCGAGAAAGAAGAGCGCGGCGTGGGTCCGAGAGGACGTAGGAGCAAGGAGGGAGAGACAGAGAGGACCCTCATCGCAGAGGCTGGACTTCATTTTGCCTTGCACGCCGGCAACAGACGGCTCTGCAAGGAGTTCGGCGTGACAGTTGTAACCCTCAACGTGATGGGCAAGTTGGAAGAACTCAGCCTGCCGAGACCGGCTTTAGCCATCCTCAAGCCAGAGATTTCGGAGCAGAACTGGCAGCTGCTCGATCAAAGGTTTGAGGCGCAACCAGACTCACACAAAAGTGGCTCAAGTTTGCTTCAGGAAAGTTTTTCTTTATGTTTATGTATGCTGTCATTACCCTAGAAATGTTCTAGTAAATGACAAGACGCGACACTTCTTACTAGTAACTGGCCGGGATTGTCTGGGCATGATACCAAATGTATGTAATGCAAATGTGGCTATTGATTGCTATTGTATGCTATTGTCTAATTATCTAATAATGTCTGAATAAATATGTCTATATATATATAATGATATAATGTATTTATCTATACCTTTATATACCTTTATTTATCTTTATTTAATATTGAGAGAATCAACAGATAAACAAAAAGCTTGCCTGACAATTTTCTAAGCTGTTTGAACTAGTTAGTATGAACTAGTATGCACTAGTATATACTAGTATTAAATATTATGAAATAGTTTTCAGTCTCATGCCCAACCAATGTCTAGGTCGTCTCTTTATGGCCTTCGATTGCACATATCTCACACAGACGCTCACTCAGATGACACTCTGGGACACCAAAGGGTTGGTGGGCGGTGCATGGTCAGCGCAAAACCCGTCACAGAGCTTCTTAAGCATGGAAGACGAGAATGTTGACACGAAGACAGTGCCCAAAGCATCCTCCATGCTAAACTTCTTGTCTTGGGATCCATGTGCCACAAAGAAAGCACCTCTCTCTGTGTGTTCGGTTCCGATGGAAAGCGGCTTCACTGGCCCGCAGGGCACGTTTCGCGGCAACTGGTGCATGTTGCATGTTGTGGGCTCAGTGCTGGAGAAAAGCGGTGGACTTGTGAAGGGCGTGATCTTTGACGCTGCCCTGACCCACCAACACGTGAGAAAGGTTTTGATGGGACAGATGGAAGATGTCGACGCAGAAGAACTGGCCAACGTTCCGTACTTCAAAAATGTGAAGCATATCGGACTACCGCAACATTGCCTGCCGAGGCTACCAGTTCAGATTTGCACCCATGAGGATGCCTATGTGTGGTGTTTACCAGGAGCTTGTTTCTTGAATCATCTTGATCATATTTGATTATGTTTGATCAAGTTTGACCCTTTTGACCCAGGGAATCCCAGGGATGTGACTATTCCCTACCATTTTCTAGAACATATCACTGTGGATATCCGTGGATATTTGTGGAATTGCTATTTTGTCATATTGAATGCAGTTGACGAAGTTGACAAAGAACTTATTTAATCGAAACGTATTTGTTTCAGGTGAGTGAAACAAACTTGATTCAATTCGAAGATGTTTCTTGCATTCCTTAGAAACGTGTATTCGGAATATGTTCATGACACGTAGTCTCTGTTCAAGGGAGAGGTGGGTGGGACCTCTTTTAGTTTGCGCGTGTTGCTTTTGGCCCGCCCTCCACCCTATGGAGCAACTCGTTGCTCATTTGCATCAGCTGCAGCGCTACGTGGTCTTCCGCGAGCGTGTTCGAAATGCTCTCATGTTCATCGATGACGTTTTGGACAACATCGACACCTACAATCTGAATCCACAATGGACACAGCGAATGTCCGTGACCAGGGAAACCCTAGTCACGTTGGATCGTGAATTGACGCAAACAATTGCTTTCACCTTTACCAGTGCACAGCGTGTTCTTGAGAATACCACTGAAAGGTGGAATTGGTCCTAAGGAAGTTACAACCTTCCATAATTTTGTACCATAAAGCCTAACCCTGCCGTTGGAAGAGGGAGGCCGATCATGAGACAAGACTGGATCTCCCCGATGCTGTCTAAAAGTGCGGAAGGAGTCAGCAGAGCGAGAGAGTCGCAGTTTGTCATATGCATGTGTGATAAATCTGAGAATTGAATTGTGTAGATTAAATAATTTTCTATTTATATTTATATATATTTATATATCGATATAAATCGATATATTATATTTTAATGTTTTCCCTGATTGCTGATTGGCAAGGTCATGCAAACAAGAATTCGGGAGGGCAATTGGTATCGTTTTTACGGACGTGCTACTACGGAGTCTTCTGGGCAGACAACACTGCATCACGTTCCCATGGTCTACCACCAGCAGCCTATGGGAGGCATTCGCCCATGTCGGATGCTATGCAAGCTGTTCTGGCAAACCCCTACTACTTAGTGGAGGAAGTAGTGCCTTGGTTAAGTTTGGGACGCTTTGACCTGTTGGGGGACTTAAGATTGTGGAAGGATGTGGAAGTCCCTGTTCATCCCTGTTCATTTTCTAGGGATGTCCATGCTGTGCCTGTCCATTTTGTAGAGCCCGTATCTATCCTGCCCATTTTGCAGGATGGACCTCTCTCTTCGATGACAGTGCCCTGGAGCTTGAAAGGCACCCTTCTCCACCACTTATGTGTTGGGCTGTGCATTGCACCCTCCATGCACCGCCATCTTCATCTCTCCGAGAGATGCGAGACCGCCCTGTGTGGCTTCCTGCTCTTGGACATGTTTGATGCACTGGCCCGAGACAAGTGCAAAGACATGGGCCTACCAGCCGGCTCTTGCTTCATGGCTCCTCAAACCCGCTCGTCTCTCCAACATGTTGCCCTCAGCATAGTGATCGTTTGCATCACGAAGGATGCATGCTTCCAACCTTGGAAGGGCAATGGCCGAATGACCGAGCTCAGCATAGAGCAGCACTTTGGATTCCTACGATGTCAAATGCAGAACGCTCAGATGTCCACAAGGCAGTTTTTTGTGGCAGACGCACGGCAAGCAGTCAAGACATCAAAGATGCTTGACCACCAGAAAGCAGTCCCAAAGGACAAAGCTGAACCAAAGCTGACTACGGAAGAGCTACTTGAATCAGTTCATTCAGGGATATTCAGGTATATTAAGGGATATTAAATTATATTAAGGAATATTTATGAATATTTATATAGTGTTAGATATGATGTAAGTCATTCCAATCCACTTTCTAGTGCCAAAATCTATACACCCAACCATTCCCAACCAATTTGTAGTCACAACATTGTTTAACATCAGATCCTTGCTTCAGGTTCCAAGAATGCTGCCAGAGGGCTTGGAAGGCTTGTTTGAAGCTTGTGTCCAAATGCAGTGGCATCAGCGAGAAGTTCGTGGAGTCGCAATACAAATTGTTCTGCAATGATATGCAGTTCACTGGTGAAGACACGATGCTTCGTGAGGAAGACGATCCGGAGGTCCTCCAAGAAGCTGGCGCTGATGTAGCTGAGAAGAAGGGTGAGGGCGAGGATTTCTTGCGCCAAGTGCAGACAGAAACTGCACTGCTGAAGGATTGCTTGGACAATGGGATTGAGCCAAAAGACACAGAGAAGGGTCCTTCTGGTGAGGATTTGGACGTGGGTGGACTTCCAGATGAGAAGGAGTTGCGCCGCTTGCTTAGCGTGGAGAATCCGTCAGAGGCCTTTCGAACCGAAACAGCAAAAAGCCCGAGAGGCAGTCCTCCTCACAGCAATGATCACCTTCCAGTAACCTTGAGAGAGGCTTTGGAGATGCGAGGTGATATGTTCAACGCGCTCTTTCGACTCCTGGTGCGATTGAGATCCGCCAAGGGCGGATGTGACACGCTTTGGCTGAAGAATGCGAGAAGCTCGCGAAAGTCAAGCCGAAATCTAAATTGGTACCAGTCACTCGGCCTAGATGGTCAAATATCTTTAGAAGATGTTTGAAGTCTTTTGAATATTTTTGATAGTTTGGGAATCTTTTGGCATCTTTTAAGTTGTGTTTTGAAGGCCTCCCTTAGAAAATGCACAGGATTACCATGGATTACCAAATAACATATATGTGTCAATATGTGTCCGGAGAGAAAGCTCTAGAAAATCAAAGGGCTTCAAAGGTATGATGAAGGATGAAAAACCAAAGTTGAGGTATAATGAGCGTCAGATCGCCCTCATGAACGCCGAGACAGAGGATCCTCAGCACAGAGCTCGGACTTCCAGACTTCAGAAGTGGAAGGAACTAGTCCAAGATGCTCAGAAGCAGCTCCAACTTCCGTCTTCTGCACCGACGAGTATCCAGTGCCTTTGGATGCCTTTGGACATGGATGCCTTTGGACAAATTCCCATTCATTTTCTAGAGATTGTAAAGAAGATTTGTTAGCACAACCTTTCATTTACTAGTATGCAGCAAGATTGTATAGATACCGGCACCTACGAATGCATGCACTTCCCTTCCCGCTGACAGTTGGATTTGCAAGGCCGGGAAACATAGTGCTCTTCTGCCTTCCTTCCAGCTCGCAGTCAGTTGATGTTGGGATGGTTCTGAGTGTGTGGCGGGGGGTAAAGGCCTCCAAGCTGGTCAGTTCCGGGTGCCCCATTGACAACTGCAGCGCCTTTCGAGTGGTAACGCTGGACAAGCGGTCAGCTGATGATCCCGAGTCAGACTACTACTGCAACTCAACGAGTCCGGCATGGGCCCTCAGGGTGGAATCCTTGGTGACAATCCTTGATTGTGAACGCTGTGCCCTGGATTCTTTCCATAGCTTTCCTATGCTTTTCTGGAGCTAGTTAGTAAGGAGATGTTCGGGGGGATGCACTTAGTTCTAGTAAATGATTGTGCCCAGGTAAGATTGGCCCTGTCATGCCCTGTTCATCCCTGTCCATCCTGTCCATTTTTAAGGGGATGCACTTAGTTCTAGTAAATGGTTGTGCCCAGGTAAAATTGGCCCTGTCCCATGTCTTCCCAGGTGTGCAGCCGCTAGACAACACAGGATATGTGAAGATTGTCTTGTCCGAGCAGAGCACCAAGGCTTTGCAAAAGGTTGAGGACCTTGAGGTGTGGATTGTAGAACCTACCATGACACGTGGACGGAAGAAGGCAACAGACGTTCAGCCTAAGAGGGCACCCAGAAAGAGGAAGAGAGATGCCGAGCAGCCAAAAGCCAGCAAGAAGGACAAAGTCCGCAGAGAGACAGTGAATGCAGTGCTAGCTAGTGAGCAGCAAGAGGATGCAGAAGAAGAACTGCTTTTCACAGAGAAGAGCATCAGCCGGGCGCCCAAGGGCCATGCAGCCATCAGGAAGAAGGTCAGCGAGTTGTGCTCGCTAGATGCAAGGGTATATGAACACGTGCCGACCTTTGGTGTAGATGGCCTTTGCAGGATGAAGATGCCAAGCGCCGTGGGTGTGTCGATGAAGTCAATCATTGAGCAATCGCCTGCTTGCTTTGAAGCGATGACCCTTTGTTTGTTACACAAATTCTGTTTTTTATTTGTTTGATATTGTTTGATCAATAAACTTAACAGCAACTCCCACAAATCCTACCGTTTTCTAGATTTGACTGTTGCTGCCTTACCAATTTCTAGTGACAGATAGTGACAGCTTTGAGCAACAACTCCCACAGGTCCTACCGTTTTCTAGCACTTCATTGTTGCTGCCATACCAATTTCTAGTGTCAGAATGCCTCAGGTTTTGGAATCTTCGCACGCCACACATCTACGCAAAGGCTGTCTTCAAGGTGATTTCGAGTGCAGAATCGCAGCTTCAGAGGGATGAGCCAACGAGGCAATCCTTTTTGAAGCTGATCAAGGAGATTTGCGACTACATCAGCTCAAAGAAAAGCGCAGCCGGTGAGAATGCAAACGCAAAGTGACCTGCTGTTGCTGTTCGTATCTGTGTGTAGCTAATTTGAAGTTTGAACATGTTTAGAAGGTGATGCTGAAATCAGTGCGCCTGCGCTTTAGCACTTGGGGTTGGCAAAGCGCTGATGAAACCAGACAATCAAAATGATTGTCCTGAAAAAAAACTCGGAAGGATTCGGAAGCCAAGATTGGGTGGAAAAAAAGTGTGCTATAGTTTGCTGATGTTTGCTGTGTCGTTTATGTCTGTACATGTCAAATCTGATAGATGCTGATTGCATATGATTGGAATCGATTTTGCAATATTGTACAAGATCTGACGCTCTAGAAATTGGTTGCTTGATGTTTTTTCATAATTTTCATGGATGACTGAAAATCTCTAGGAAATGGTTACTTAAATATTCGGCCATCGAGGAATCTTGGTCAAAAATCCCTTTCCCATGCACCTCTAGAAAATGCATTTTTTTAAACATTCGTCTCATAATACGGACGATGGGAACCTGTACAAGACCATTCCCTAGACAGGCAACATTTCATCAAGGTAAGGTCTAATTTTTATATGTTCTGGAATGCCTAGCATTTTCTAGAGAGTGTTTTTACCTGGCCATGACCATTTACTAGACGAAAGTGAATGCCCCGTTTTTTCTAAGTAGAGAATGGTCCATCCAAGTTCACCTTGAAATTCTAAGGGGATCCTTTTTGTGTGTTTTGCGTCTGCATATGAAGCTGGTTCCGACTGGTTACTCGGTTACTCCTTCAGTTTCACAGGACTTGATGAAACTGCTTCGCAGCGGTGAGGTCGATGAGGCCGTTGTACAACCATCACATACCACCACCATTGACAATACTAGTATTTGAATGTATATGATAAAGGCCTTTGAAGGAGATGGGGTGTTTCTTGCCATGTGGACCTACAATGTGTTGCTAAAGACTCTTCACATTATGGAGATGACATGTGAAAGGTGCAGAAAAATCGTCCTTGTTGCGTTTTATTTCCAGATCTCTCGAAGTTTCGAAAGGAAGATCTCCTCGAATGCTTGAAAGATGATGTGCGTGGCCGAGACCCGTTGGAGGCCGTGCACAAGAGACGACGCGTCGTGGATTTGAGTAGGTCCTTTTCGGTCTTTGGTTCAAGCAAAGCAGGACAAAGCTGACCATGCTGCCCATCAGAAGGACAAAGATTGGTACGGGCGCTCTGGAGCATCTTCAAACTCTGTTCGCTTCAAACTCTGTTCGTCCGATTTGAGTTCGAAGTGTCTTCGGGAGTACATGGAATACGCAATTTCACAGGTATGTGTTGAAGGGACAAAAGGATTTGTCAACTTATACAAGCAAGCCTTCTGTGATCAGTGTAACCCTTGTCAGAATGCGGTCTGAAACACTTTTGGCATGCTGAGGTGGACTCCCTTACATTGGGCGGCACAGGCGCCAGCTAGCATTTGAAACCTAGTTACAAAGCTGAAATCAAAAGAGGAGTGCCCCGCTTTTGTGGATGAACTGAAGCAATCATTGAAGGTGTTGCTGTTTCACTTGTCTTCCATCAAAGTATTGAAAGATAACATGTTCGACCCGTGTTGCTTGACATGTTGCTCAAGGGGCAAGACGGTTCTTGTTACAACTGTTTTGCAGCAAGGACGGCCATGAGCGCTTGGCTGAGAAGCTTCTGGGTCTTCGAGTCAGCTGGGACCAAGAGTTCACACGAACGTTCTGTTTTGAAAGCATTTGCTTCAAAAAGGATTATATATTTAGAGTCTAGAGTTTGATTGAAGTATTTTGAAGCACGTTCTTTTGGTGCCACTCCACTTTGTGGCTGGAAACGTTCTAAATGCAAAGAGCGCATTGAAAGTTTCTTTGGGAAAAGAACATGTTGGACATCCAAATCACGCAAGACTTGAAAGACTTGTCAGTTGGAGGTCTGGATCTTCAGGCCTCGCTTTACCGAGGCACAAACGCAGCAGACACCTGCGGTGCTACACCTTTGGCCTCACCGGCGATTTGAAGCCTTTGTCAATAATGTGTTTGAAATATAATGAAATATTATGTACAACTTCAATCAAGCATAGCATATTGTCTTCATGTGTCAACCATTGTTTTATCGTTTGCAGCTGGAGACGCACTCTTTGCAGAGAACGAGCTCAACTCTGTGAGACAAAGAGCAGAGTCTCAAGGAATCTGATAGTTTGCTGTAGCGTCAGGAGAGGGTCACGAACTCCCAATTCCATTCGAAGCTGTGCATTCTGCTAGATGATTGCAGCCTTTAACGGCCGCACCCGGATCATTGAGGCGAGGAAAGGAACAGTGTGATCAGTGTGAACGTTTGGGGGACGAAGCCGATCTAGGAACGAGTGGACCTTGACAAGCTGTTTGGTGTGTAACATGTGCATTTGTCAGACCTGTGTTTCATTGCAGTAACCGTCGACCGTTTGCGAATCGCGGTGCGTCGCCAGGCCCTCCTGAAGGATCGGTCCACCGATGTGCGGCAGGCAGAGCGGCGGAACTTCGCGTAGCCATTGCGGACACGTGTCATGGCGTAGCCATCGCATCTCGTGGCGACATGTGTTTAATTCCACCGTCATTTTGCAACGACTTTCTAAGTACAAGCCTTGAGCACCCGTTTGGCGCGTTTAATCTCTTTCTGCCCAGACGAGTCTCAATTTGGATCAATCTTGCAGGACTAGGTGACCAGGTGGGGATAGGTGACTGGGACTTTCAGCTAGCCTTGTTTTGGGTTCGGTGTTCGAAAAGTGCCGCCGCAGACGAACAAGTACCTTACTACAGCACTCCACTACGCGGCACAACGTGGACACGTTGGGATGCCCATTGAAGCTATGAAGGTGCAGTCTCCACGTGGTTTGCAAATGCATCCCTTGTTCCTAGTAGCGATGCCAGGAGCTACTACCTTCTTGTTGCTAGTAGTAAGGCCAGGGGCGCTTCTAGTAGCATCCTTGCTCTGCCAGAAATTTGATCGTGAGAACTCACACCTCGCGGCTTGAGGCTGCAAGCATCGAGATGTTAGTCGAGTCAAATGCAGAGGCTTCAGTTCTTGCAGTATACCATGCAGTGCCATGCAGTGCCAGCTTCCCGTTCTTAATTTTCAATATACATGCTTTATTGTGCTTTGTGTGTATCATGCTTTGATCAGATGTAGCACCAGTTGCATGTACATGCCATAGTCGTTCATAGATGTATGTTTCACTGCAGCCGTTTTGGGTTTACTTGTTTACTTCAAGCGTGAGCTAAAAGTGTGCCTATCACCTTTGGGACTGTGACTTGGGGTCACTACGTTTGTGAGCCTAAATTCTCCGTTCATGGTAGCGGAGCTGAGGTTCTAAGACCCAGCTACCGTCTGCAGATTGAAGGTTCCCGAACTCCATCGGTTCTGGCACCGGAGGTCCGTGAATACAAACGTCACTTGCAGGAAAGCCGGATTGCTTCCGCGTGTGTCCGCTGCACGGACTTTTGGTCTCAAAAAGAGGCTTCGGTGTGTCGTCAAGTGTGAAATGCTCTTCAACCCTAACTTCCATGGTACACTTCTTGATTTGGTGCACCGGCACTCCCCCTTCACCGGCTCGGTGAATCTCGGTGCGACCTTCCCAAGGACCGGGCACTTGAGGTACTCCCGAACGATGCTCAGGTCCAGGCCATAGTCCCCAATTCTCTCCTCTCGGCCTTCCCAAGTCGACCCATGCCTGACTCTCGAAGTTCTGTTCTGGGGTCCTTGGTGGCGGCCCTTTCGGAGGTGAAGGTGGTGGGGTACGCGTAGGTGGTCTTGGCTTCGGGTCCTTGACCTCCTTGCAGTCTCTGGCCTCCACCTTCTTCTTCAACTCCTGAAGCTCCTCCTTTGGGGATGCATTCTGAGTGAGGACTGCCCTGAGCACCTCCTGCACGTCCACGAAGGTCCTGAGGCTGACGCTGGAGCTCTGACCACCATCGCATCCTTTGCGTCCTCCAAAGCCAGCTGCTCAGGATCCTCCTCAGCGCTTTGCATGCCTCGCCGCTGCCGCTGCCATCCGGCGTCCCAGCGCCCGCAGCCGGCATGGGGACCAGCACCGTGTCACCCTCGCGGTGATCACGGGTGGAAAAGGCTTGGGCTCATAACCGGCGTGTGTCCGCTGCACGGACTTTTGGTCTCAAAAAGAGGCTTCGGTGTGTCGTCAAGTGTGAAATGCTCTTCAACCCTAACTTCCATGGTACACTTCTTGATTTGGTGCACCGGCAGCTTCAATCCCTGGCTAGGAAGTTAACGTGGCACAGCAGCCAGGAGCACAGGCACAACCAGCAGACATGGCGCAGCAATTTGCACAGATGATGCAAGCGCTAGCACAAGGGCAGAATCGACTGCAACGAGCAATGGCAGAAGCATACACCCAGCAAACGGCAATCACACGGAACATAGCAACCAGTGTAGAAGCGCGACAGATCAGAACTGAAAGGCATCCCAAAGCCTGACAAGTTCAATGCACACACAGGTACCTGGGACTCATGGTACTTCAAGTCACAAGAATGCAGGAAAGTGCATTCAGCACATCCTGCGTCAGACACAGCAGTGGAAAGAACAGCAGACCAAGGGCACCTCCACGCAACCACTCCGCGTGGTCTTGGGGCAGATGGTGATACAGGAGATTCTGGACCGCTTCACGAAGCTGCAAATTAAGGGTACTCAGGATCCCATTTGGCAGAAGGCGATCCAACAGCTCATCATCACCCCAAAGGCCTTTGTGGCCCCACCTGCAATGGGGTCCGACTCAGAAGAAGCTTCAAGTGTTGCCCAACAAGACCCCTATCAAGGGGGAACGGATTCAGAAAGCCTTGGAGGATTTTGTGGAGTACATGCGGAACCCGGGCCGTCTGCTCAGGTTCAAGAGCCTCCAACCACCACAGGCATCCAGTGATCCCCTTCCTGATCCAGGTCAGTCTGAGGGACAACAGCCTGTACGAGACGCTGTCGTGGCTGAGTCACAACCTGTTTGGATGCTGGCGGAAGCCAGACTCCGCCAACGCATGGTTCGCCCGACCTGGTGACACAGCTCCTCAAAGGGCTAGGGCGCAATGGCCGCTCTTCCTAGACCAGGGATTGGCCACGGTGATGGGCTGAAAGCTGGTCAATCAGGACAATGCTTGCTGGCTCAACGCCACTGTGGTGGCCTTCTTCTGGGCACAACTTCAATGTCGTGGCCTTTACTGGCAAGATCTCAGCAAGGGCGCAGCAATGTTCCAATCCCTTTGCAGCCGCGCCAGCACTACACTGGACCTGCTACGGGACCGTGCATCTCAGGCACTTCTGAATGGGTGGCACTGTGAAGGGCAACAAGAGCTGCTTTCCTTCACCAGCCACTTTTTGGGATGGTGTCAACCACGCCATGTGGACAACACCTGGGAACGTAGATTTGATGAGGCTGCACAGCTCAAGTGTCATGACCAAGGGGGAAAGCTTGGTCCAATCATTTTTGACGCCAGCCGCACCATCAGAAAAGAAGCTGGATTTGCAAGCGTGTGTGGATGAATGGCGCACTCAGTATGGCATGATCGCTGCCTTGCTCAGAGCACAAACATGTATGGTTCTCTACATAGAAAAATCTCAGTTTATGCCCCAAGGTGAGGCTACCAAAGCTCCGTGGCGCCTGGAGCTGCCGCCAAATGGAGTCATCTGGCTCCCCTGCTTTCGAGAGGCGCGAGACTTGGCCATTGACCATGTGGCCTACCAGGTCTCTAGCATGATTGTCCATTCAGGTTCACATGAGGCTGGACACTACGGACGGATTGCCTTTCAGGATAACTGGGAGGCCCGCACGGACCATGCCCTTCATCGCGAGCCCGACCAAGATGTCTTGCTGGTGTGGCTGGTTGATGCCAATAGGTACTTCACTTGGCCATCCGCACTCATGAAGGACGAACTTGTCACCCATGCCGTCCGGCCAACTACGGGATCTTTCAGGCTAAGGACTCGCTCCTGTCACGACTGCTGCGCACGACATGTCCGCTGTGCGGGATCCCAATCATGACCGTCCACCTCTTTGAGGAGCATGCCAAGGCATACCACTGGGACCTCTGGCAACTCGGCATGCAGCATATGCAGGCCACCTGGCCGCAAGGTCCTGCCTTGTGTTTGGTGTGCTGGTTGGATCAAGACACAGAGATCAATGAGACATCTGAGGCCTGGGAGAACATCAGGCGAAAATACGAAGAGCGAAAGAAGAAAGCTCTTGATGACGACATAGCTAGCCAGAAGCTGTCTCCAGCAGATGTGTCCAGCAAAGCTTCAAGATCACCTTGACCTCCAGAGTTCAAGACTCACTGACTACGATGTCATGAAGTCAGAGGTTTTGGCCTATCTCGAGAACATCGAGAGCCGAAGAGAAGCCAAGACAGGATCAGCTGGATGTTGATGCGTTGGCCGCAGCTACCAGCCAGATGCAAGCTTCACTTGCGAGTCTGGCAAAAGCCAAAGCAAAAGGCAAAGGTGGCTCAAAAGGCGGCAAAGGAAAAGGAAAGAGTCAAGATGGAGGCCAGGGAAACGACAAAGGTAAACAGAAGGGAAAGGTTCGAGTTGGTCCAATCCCTCGTCATGGAACAATTCATGGAATAAGAATAAAGGCGAAGGTGGCAAAGGCAAAGATTCTTAAAAGTAAGGGCAAGAGTAAGAGTAAGAAGAAGGTAGCTACAGTTGAAGAATCTGAAACCTCTGTGGCTCAAGAGCATCAACCCGAGACCGAGTATTCCATGGCTTTGTGGTGCGCCAGAAGGAAAAAACAAAAGGTTACAAAAATATAAACTGCCCCTTTAATATATAGACTACCAACCGCCGACATCGCCACTCTCTTTGCCCTCGAGATGGAGAAAGCAGCGCCTGCCGCAATTTCCCAGGGAGCAGCCAAGGCAAAAGCCAAGACTGACGTCCAAAGAAGCCAGGAACTGGTAAAGGTCGCCCTGGAATTGCAATTTGGGATTGCAGTCATGAACCAAGCCATCCAAGAGACCCCACGCAGTCCAATCGTGAACTGTACGAGAAGAAATCCGAGTCAATCCAAAAGGCCATTGCAGAGGCCGAAGCTCAGGGCAAGGCTGCCAATGATGCCATCCTTGAGCGACGGGCAGAGATGAAGCAGCTGCGAGAGCAGTATGCTGAGAAGGAGAACGAAGCTAAGATTTTGCTGAAGAGGCCATCCTCCAGCCGCGCCGCTTCGGTGCCGGCGGAGTTGCCAAGGCTCTCAGCAGATTTGGCATCAGGCATGGATCCACGAGTGGCGAAGAAAGAGAAGAGTCGCCACCGTGCTGAGCAACATCGAGTTGCAAGCCTTG